AAAAGGAATATTTCTAGCAAGGCTATGACCTTTTCCTCCGTCACTACAGCAGTTGGGAAATGTGATTTCAGATTCCATGTTTAAAAAGAAAAAAAGTACTAAGAAAAGAAAGGATGAAATATGCTCATTTGCTGGGGTTTTTTTCCCTTCCTCTTGTCAGTATTAGAGAAGAAGGAAATTCTCTGCAAGCACCAGAGATGTGTGGTGCCTTCACGTTAGCCCGTTTACCCAGAACATGAAGAAAGAACAATTCATCCTTCCCTGGAAGCCATGAGCATTTTTCTGTTGCAAGAAACATCCTCTTGAACAGATCTCCCCAATATTAAAAGCTGATGGAAGACTTGTGGCCTGGGTGTGAGGCAGGTTATCATCACAGTGGGATATGCCATGCCCGAGGCTCCTCCTGCTGCTGCCATCCTTTCCATCAGTGCAGCAATGGGCTTGTCCTCATTGAGTCACCACCCTTTTGCCACTTTTCCCTATCCCAGAGCTTGAATTTTCCAATTCCCTGTTTAAAAAACAGACTGCTTCTGAAGCACAACAGAGCACAAGTTACTCTGTGACCTCCAAAACCTAGAACCTAAGGGAACTGTGAGCTCAGGAAAAACTGAAGGTAAATCTGACTCAGATATCCAAATCCTCTTTTGAACACTGTGCTCTATCTTTGGGAGTCTGTAAGGTTGTCTCTATAGGGAAATGAACAGAAGAAAGCATTCCAAAATACCTCTGATACATTCAACTCGTACCATTTTCAAAACCCAAATAAAAACTAAATGCAGACCAATCCCTAAAATTTCATTCTAAGTCAGCGGGCAATAGCTGTTTGCATGTTGGAATTTCCCCCTCTTCTGATCTGGAGTGCCACCCATGAAGGGCAGTGCCACTGCCACATGTGCTTGAGAGAGAAAAGGGAGCCTCAACTGGATTGTCCACTCTATTCCTCCTTCTCAGAAATACCTGCAGAACTACCCAAAGATGGACAGTTTGAGCTGTGCAATGTCACGTACATACAGAGGCAGTATTTGCAAAACCAAAGGGTGGCTTTGGGTTTATCCTGTTGTTGACAGAAAATCTGTCTGATTACAATGACAACTAGCTCAGCAGCTCTCCCAACACCACTGCTCCTGCAAAACTGGGCTCTCCTGCTGGCCACTGGTCTCATGCACAGCTTTGGATAAATCACTTGTCTGTTTTCTGTGCTGGATCATGAGTAAAATTGGAAGGCCTTTAGCACATTACAAAGGTGAAATAAGAAAAATTACACTCCTAGATGTACTGGCACCATGACAACAGGATTGTACAAGCACCAGAAGATGATAGTCAAGTGTTTCTGCAATGAGAGTGTTGACCTAGCTTTACAAAACCACCTCCACCACCACTGTTCCCATTACCCATTTAACTCTGCTCTGAAAAGGGAGAAGGGGACAGGGAAGAAATGCAGTAGGAGACAATAGAGTATTGGGTCAAAGGGACCCTCACCATGTCAGGTTTCTCATCCTAATACACAGCACAAAACTGCTCAAATGCAGTTTTAGTCACCTATCCACAATGAAACATGTCCACAGCTTTGGCAATGGCAGACTACAGGTTTGCAGTAGTACATATCAGTCAAAAACCATGGAAAATCTCTCTTGGTCAATAATTATTAAAAGCAGATTCAATTTAGGAAAACTGGAGTAGTAACTTAAGTATTTCAGAAGGAAAGGGGCAGTATGCAAAGCAGGCACTAGAGGAATGCATGCCACATGCCACAAGCCTGCTTTGGAAAAGAATTATTTTGACAATTTTTTCTGACACCAGAAAAATAGGACAACTGATGCCACTGAAGCCTGACAAATTAGGCCTGCTATCTTTTCACCTGCTGATATCACCTGCTTTTTACTTGCTTTTCTCTGTCAGAGGGCAACCTAGAAAGTCCAGATGTCCTGGAATGACTATCCATTCTAGTAGAAGGCTGCTGCTACCAGATAAAGCAACTACAGGATCAAGAATATGAGGAGAGGACTGGGCTATCTGCACAATCAGCTCTCATCTTGTCCACATGCTGAGACTAACTGTGGCCTCATAAAACTCTCCTTGTCAGGGGTATCTCTGGTGATCAGACAGGAATGTGGTGTGTGGGGTAATGTAAAGGACATTTTACAATATATGAGCTACTGAAGTTAAGAGAATGTTTGGATTTCCCTCATCTGAGAGGAAAGGTTGATGCTTTCCTCTAGAAAATGATATGAGCTAGTTGGTGAAAGAGTTAATAATTAAATAATAAAATCTCAAGAGAAGCAGACTAATGAATGAAGTTTTAAATCTTCTATATTTTTTCTTTGGGGGAGCACATACACTAGCACTACACTGAGCAGAAGTGCCTAAGGTCAATCCTAAGAACATCTGTTAAAGATTACTCCCAAACCATCTCTTCTTGAGATGCACACACCCTCCCTTCTGCTGCACAACCACCACTTGGGTAAACCCACTCTCTGTCCATAAAGAATAATTTCAAACTGTGAGGAATAACCCATCCAACCAGACAAAGGCAAGCTGGAATTGCACACAAGTACAACTGCCTGCTGAAATATTAATTCCTTTATTATGCAACTGAGGTGTTCCTTTAGGAGATGGCCATATGGCAGACCCCACCACGCACCAAAGGCTGGCTGCACAGGGGCTGAGGCATGTGGGTTCAGTGACAAGAACTGACCTCTGACAATAACAGGGCATAAAACGAGGAGCAGATTTCATCCACTAAGTGTGCCTTTGGTTCAGCCATGCCTTTGCTGACCTACTTGCCCAGAGCTGATACCTTCCCCATCACTTGGATGGCATTCACTTACGGGACGCTCACTCGAGGGCCCAGGCAAGGAACACCGACAAAGTTAATCTGACCATTCCGAGGGAAGAAATAGAGGCAGTAACAAAGCCAGGCAGAGGCTGAGGCAGGAGAAGGATAAAACAGAGTTTCCCACTAGGTTCCCCACTCCATGTCAGCACATGAAGGGACACAGTTTGCCTAAATACAACCTATTTCACTGGTGTTCCACTGAGTAACCACACATGAATACATGAGCCAAAATTTCCTAGGTAACACACAACAACCTCAGAAAACCGGCTCCTATTTCATCCTGTGCTCACCCTTTGTCTTCCCCCTCTAACTCTACTTGCAGAGGCACTATATTTGATTCATAGGGAATGGAGGAAACAGCCATCAAAGCTCCTACCTTAATTGCAAAGGCAGCGTGTCAGTTGTCATCCTTTTCCTCCCTAAATTCAGATCATTAAAAAATACTCAATACCTACTGTACATTTGCTACTGAGCAACCACTCACAGGAGTTATTCTACATCTTGTACACAGGGCCAATTAACACCTCAGGGTGTAATACTGACATATTGCCTTTCTCACAAGGCACCACTATTCCTCTTTGTTTTATGTGCAACAAAGGCTGTGGAGGGGTACCAGGTAATGACTGTTGCTTTACCAGACCAGTCTCTGGAGGGAACAGCATACCCTCATGCAAATCATAAATCACAAGGAAATACAACCTGCTGTGATAAGTTGAAACACCAATCTTCCCTAACCATTTCCATGCACAGTATTGCTTCTGAAATGAAAAGCCTCATTTAGAGCGGAATAACTTTAAACTATAATTTGGATTGTATTCTGCTTGATAGGGCAGACCCTGAGCCCTGATGTCAATCTTTCTGTGGGTTTAATAGCTCACCCCATAAAAAGTATTCCATAGTTGCATTTAGAAGCTTCACAGTTTTGTTCAGAAAATCAAAGCCCCCTGCCAGCAGAGTATCCAAGTCCCTCAACAGAGAGGTCCCCATTACTCAGAGAGGTGATCTTGGAATTTCACAGAAGCCAAACAGCACACAGTCTTTCCAGGCTGTGGCAGCAGGCAGGTGGCCACCTCCTACCTGAGGGATGGAGAACACCCCAGGGGCTGTGAGCTCTTGCTTCCCCTCTGGACAGGGTGCCTGTCATTGCTCAGCCACGTCTGGCTCTCCTGCAGCCCATGCTTGAAGCAACAAAGATGTCCTCGAGCCAAACTCTGGGATTCAGCAAATCGATGTCTCCTGCTGCTCTCTCAATATAACACTGTGAGTTGAAAGCATACATTCCCATACCTGCTTTATTATTTTGAGAGGTGTGCTATAATAAGGTTTGGCCTGCTCAAACAGAAAACCTGAAAGTGATGTTGTTATTCAGCACTCAGCTCTCTACAACTGCTAATAAAAAGTGCACTTCTCGTGTTATCACTGCTATTTCCTTTGTCAGTTATGCCCTTTTTGGCAGTAGGGCCCTAACTCTATGTAACAAATTTGGTTTCTACAGAAAGCAAATTCTGAGGTACACAACTTTTTGTAGCTCTGAATTTCCCACTGGCACACACTGCTGTCCTCTCAGGTGACTGGCTTTCTCCCCTCAAAAATTCAGTCTAAAATGGCTTGCCTGTACTTTGCCTTCGTAACTTTGGAGGCTTATAAATTAGTATTTTTCTACCATCAAACATCAAATCACCCAAAACAATAGGTTCCTACCTGTATTATGTATACATTATGTATACCTGTTCCTATCACCTCCCTGGTGATACAATACTGTATTTAAGACACTTATCAAATGCCACCAATTACATGGACATAGGTCAGTCGAAGCACACTGCTGTATGATTAACAGCATCAACTTCTGTAAAGAGAAGCTGTAAGCTAGCAATAGTGCTTCACTCCTCCAGTCTGCTTTCTCTAATGGGGTTTCCCATGTGTTTCCCAAAAGATGATATGTCACTGTTGTGCTGTACAACACAGAACATTATTAGGATATTTTTAACCTAAGCACAAACCTGACAGAGAGAACCATTTTTCACATCTTATCAGCTCAGTCTCATATGATGCACGTGGTCTGCTTTACTTGCCCTTGAGCAACAAGAGACAAGCTCAAGGCTGGCCCAATCTCCACAATAAATCTTTACAGTAAAAGCAAGTGCAAATATATCAAGATACATACTGTAAGGGACACACTCGTACTGCACTTCCAGGTACTTGTACGTGCCAGGGCACGGGTCTGGAAACACATCAGGGCCGGCAACAACCGCACACTGGGTCCGATTACTGCATCTGGAAAGCAACAAAGATGAGAGTCAGAAAACAGAGCAGACAGAAGGACAGGTCAAGAAGCTGAGTGGCCACTCCAGTGTCAAAAAGATGCAGGAGCCAGGACTTCTGCATCAGCTGGGGAAGCTCAGCAGGGAGCACATAGAGGCTGATGAAAAACATCAACATCTTCATCAGCTTCTTACCACAAGAGAAGAGGCATGGTGGCACAACCCTTCCCCTCCAGGAGGTATTTCTTTAATACCAGCATCCTCACCAAACAAAATGCAAGGACTAAACCAGAAATGCTGGCAAAAAAATAATCATTCCAAGTTTTACAGCAGACATAGAAATATGTTTTGCAATATTTTTATAAAGTGTTCCCACAAAACTAGTTATCTTTGGCTTCTTAAGCCAAAGCAAAGATGAGAAACAGCAACACTTGAGTAGGAGGAAAAAGAATCACTAAATAAGCTGTCTAAAAACCAAAATAATGCTTTTCATGCAAGGCCTGTTAGGAAAACTTCTCAGCCTAGTCATTCCCAAGGCAACACCCTTGCATTAGGCTCAAATGGCTAAGTTATATTCCATCATTCTGTCCATCACGGATGCAACTCCTGAAATGAAGTACTTTTTCCAAAAAGCTTGTTCTGCATGAAGAATACACACATAAGGAAGTGATCCTGCCTGCTGCAGTGAGCATCTTTCAGCTTAAGAGCACACACAGAGAGGCTGGGTTCTGCAGGATGCTCTTCCTGAGGCCAGGGTCCATGGGTGAGTGATTTGTGCATGTGTAGAAACACACATTTGCCTCTGATTTCATGGGACAAACACCTCTAATGTACAATTACTGATGTAAAAATATTTAGCAAACAGTGATTCTATAGAGAAAAATCTTCTGTTTATTTGTTTTGTTTTTTTTTTTAAAGAGAAATATTATTTGTCTTTGATTTTTCTGCTTTTGCATGCCAGAAGGAGACCTCCTAAAGGCTAGACCACTGCATTTATTTTCTTTAGGATTCTGCCTCCTCTGACGTGAAATGGGACCCTGACCCTCCTGCTCTCCTGGCAGAAGCTGTGACATCCAGCACAGAATTCATTTAGGTCTGCAGTGGAAATGCTTCGTGTTTACCTGAGGCTACAGTTTGTCAGACTTAATGCGGATTTTATTTGAGCCTATAAATTAAAATTGATTCATTAGTGACTGCCTTAAGCTCCATAATTTCTTTAATTTTATGGAAAGAATAATAAGAGCTGATATGCTTGCTCATCAGGCTGTTTTGCTGGATACCAGATAATCCAGAGGCCTGGGACATTCTCGTGTTTTCCAGCTTGTCACAGCTTGTCACAGCTTGCTGTGACTGGTTTTATTATATAGACAGAAAAATAATTTTCTTAACAAAAAACATAACTGTCCTCACCCATGCTGGGATATCACAGGTAGCTTGGACCATGCAAGTGGGCAGTTTTCCAGGAGTGGCTTTGAACATCATCCAAAATTTCACTTTCAACAAAAATCCTTTACTGGGCCCAATGGGCCTTTCAAAAAGCAATTTCACTGGTCTAATCAATAGTGTTCCTGGCTGAAGGGCCAGCACTGGCCACATTACACAGAATAACAGCAATGGATCAAAGACACCTTTCCAAATCATGAGTAAAGATCAAGAATTATGAGGAACTGGAGGTGGGGGAAGGAACAAATACATTTAGGGTTCTTCTGCATTGTGTTTTCTTTCTGTTTGCAAGGAAGCATTTGCTTTGAATGGTCAAGCATTTCCTTATGGCCCTATTTTTTTTTTTTTAATGCAAGAACTAGGACACATAAAACAGAAGTGAAAACACACAACCTAGAAAGCTGTCTGTGAACACCACAGTTTTAACTTCCTCAAATGCATACCACCTTCTGCAACATCACCAAAGACACTAAAAGCTTCATGATACAAGGGGTTGAATGGGGAATGCAGGATGCACAGAAATGCAAAAGCTTTTTCCCCCCAACTCTAGGACATCCTGAAGCCCCCCTATACATTCCTGGAATGGGGAATGGCAAAGCCTACCAAGCACAGGAACTTTCAAAGAAGGTGAGATGAAATTATCAGTGCCACCTTGGGGAGGAAACACAGAAAACCAATAAAAAGTCTCAAATACTACGTGGTGTCAGTACCTCACAAAATTAACTAAAAAAAGGGTTCATATTAAATTTAAAAAAAACCAACACAACAAATCCAACAAACAAACAAAAAACAAACCAACATGAAAACCAGAAGAATTCAACCTACTGTCTTTTTCACACTCCTTTCCTGTGGGCAGCAAAACTGTATCTGACACTTGGCATTTTGAGCTTCCTTGTATCATGCCAGTGTGAAACACACAGGTTTTCTCATTCCAGCACACTTAAGGGATGATGGCAATTTACACTAAAAACCATAGGAAAAAACCTAATGCCTGTTCAATGGACTATTACTGTCAGACATCAGGATATTGAAATTTTAAGGGGAGAAAGAGGTAAAAAACACTCATCATTAAAGCTCTGGTTGCTCTGCTTTTGCTCATGCATTTTATCCCTTTTACAACAGCTTCTTGGTCCCTTCAGCTTTGTCATATTTCTTTCCAGACAGATTAAGGGCCCAGGTGACTCTAAGTGACATGCAAAAAGTGACACAGGAAAGGAGATGTGTAAAAGATGATGAATCAGTAGCCTTGAAAATGACAGGGAGTAAAACCGTAATGTATTCATGCCATACTCCATTTCCAGCAAGCCAGGCCATGAGCTCTTGCTTGTAAATCACAGGATTTTACATGGAATCTTGGGATTTCTTGGCACCTGTGTCTTGACAATACTTTCTCCAAACTCCTGCAAGTTGTGAGGCTCAGTGCTGGGTACTGACCTTTCCAGTAAATGCAGCAAGGATTGTTTTTTATTATTATTCTTGGGTTTTTTTCTGTCATGTCCTGTCTACCACTGCACATCCCACTCCACTCCCTTCTTTCTTTATTCTTTTAATTTTTCTCCCTTTTCTTGAAGGAAGATCTTTGCCAGCTACTGGAGGTACAGTTTGCAGTGAGAACAAGCAATGCACCAGAGCTGGTATGAAGCTGGTAATGAATCTGTCTCCTCTACTGGGCAATCACAGAAACACCACCCAGCTTATACCCTTAGCTATGCAGTAGGAACAGCAGCACTGCATCAGGCTGGATTCTTCTCCAACAGTGCAGCAACTGCTTGCATTGCTGGCTTTAGCATATCAACTTCAGCATAACTGCAGAAAACTACAGTCACCTTTTTCACACCCATATCTGTATCTCTTATTACTTTACACAAGAACCTCTTATTTCTAGCACTGATTTATCATCAGCTCCTTCAAAGCAAACCACTCTTCCTTCCCCATCACTGCCCTCATGTGCCCATCAATGCCCTCAACTTTTCCAAGCAATCCCTGGCCTCTTGGGGTATTTCTTCATTCTCCACATGTTCTGATGCCAAGAAAACAAGAGAACTGTCAGAGGACTATGGGAATTTAGGGGACCATATAGACAATTTTATGCTATTAAAAAAACAGCTTCCATTTTATTTGTTTGTCCAGCATTTTAAAGGCAAATGTTCTGGAGACACAGGTGAATTAAAGTAGTCCCTCAAGTGGCTTTAGTTCACCTTGTTGTTGTTTATTATGAAATCTTGACAAGATATTTATAGCCATCTTTTTGTGTGTGTGTTGGTTTGGTTTATTTTGCAGTCCTTATTTCTATCTGCCATCATTCCCCTTTCCCTGTTATGCCCTGAAGGTCAAAGTGAGCCTATGAATAAAAACACTGCTTCTCAAAGACCCTCTCCATGTCTTGGCCGCCTCCATAATTGCTGCTGAGATTTGTGGACACGTTCCCTGAACCAAGTGTGTCCACACAGCTCAGCAAGACCAACCAAGAGACCAGAAACCAAACCAAAACCCAAGATCAGCATTTTCAGCCCAACTTGAGACACTTATTCCTGTCTGTTCCTGTATGTTCAAGAAAAGAGAATACTCCAAAATCTCTTATAAGTCAGTCCGAGGTACTTGGCAGCCTTTAAACATCCATCATCTCATAACCATAAGTTCATGTTATTCACATCTATGTTTTGGAGAGGAAAAAATCACCCTACTGGGAAAACTGTAAATTGTTGCATTTGGAAGGTTATGAAAAAAAAAAAAAAAGACAAAAAACAAAAAGAAAGAAAAAAAAGGGGGTGTCCCTATGCATTCTTTCCAACTGCATTTATCCCTACTTGTTAAGACCCCCATTTTGTCTTTCTACCTGGATATACAGAAAAGTATTTAACCTAGAAGCAAGGTGTCAATCCAGTGCAACAAATACAGTGTAACAGGAAACACAGATTATTTTTGCAGAATTTCTCCCAGTTCCAGTGGAAAACAGTTTTCAGGAGTTTTAATGTGAAACAGGAATAGTATTTCATATGTCATTTGTATTGCATTTATAGCAGTGGGACTGAAGGAAACATTTGAGTTCAGGACCAGCTGCAGGGCTCAACTCTGCTTACAACTCTCTGTTCAGACTAACTAAAAACAACACCAAAACTTCATTCCCCTTCAGCAAACTTCCATTTCCTCTCCCTGGAAATATTTTTATGATTTTTAAGTGACAAGGTCGTCTTGTGATAGCAAAGCGGAAACACTTTAGACATAAACAGCTGCTTATTCCTGCTGTGATATCTATATATTTTTTTTCAATGCTGACATTGTTAATATACTTAGCAAGAGACAAAGAAAGGGAAAAAATGTAATAGTTTGGCAGTTTATTTTCAGGCTTTCCAGAAACTTTTAGAGCAGAGACATGTCAACAACATCAGGCTAGACATGTCTGGGGCAGTATGTTTGCCAGAACAAAAATGCAAAGGCAGCATAAAATAAAAGATCAATCCCAAACAAAAGCCTTTCAGCATTAATCATTGCAGGTGCAATACCAGCAAGTCCTCCAACTCCCCATCTAGGAGGGGACCAGACAATAAAAACAGGTGCCTAAACCACAGG